TTAGTCTTACTTCCTTTTTCTTTTTGTTCCTTTTTTTGGCAAGCACTTTTTAGATTTCCTTTTTAATATAAATGTATATTACAAAAAAGGTGAACCTTTTGGTCGAATGTAATTAAATAGGGGAGCGTGTGTGTACTGAGAGGATTTATTAAAAAAAAAAGCAGACTTGGGTGGAATAAGATGGATGTTTTATTTAACACAAAAAAAGCAATAAAAACACACAAAAAAAGATTAGAAACAAAGAAGTCTTAGCACTTTGAAATGGAACGGGTACTTTAAAATCACTTTATCTTAATTTAAAAGAAAATATATATCTATATATCTATAAAAAAAGAAAGAAACAAATATGTTTACACGTTGAAACCATCTTCTACGGAGAGAAATTTATTGTTGTTTATTGTTTTTATTAAAATAATTCCTAAAATTGAATTTATTTTTGTAAGAGAAAAACAAATATGTATATATATATATCTATATATTTGCAAAGAGAGAGAGAGAGAGAAAGAGAAAGAGAGAAAGAAAAAAAAGACTCAAATGGGATTTTTTCCATTTTGGTTTGTTGGCTTGATAGGGAAACAGAAGCAAAAACGGGGAGGATTGGATTTAATTAGATTCTGTGACACGCCACAAAATTTAGGCAGATATATATATAAAGCAAGCCTTGAGTGTGGCTTGCACGTCAGAAAACAATATATATATATATATTAAAAAAAATGGAAGCTTGAATTTTTAAGCAGGAATCATGGGGTTTTTTTTTGTGTGTATGTTTATTTTTTGTTTTCCCCTTCTTTCTTTTTGTCGTCATTCTGGTTTTGTATACATGTCTCATTGCCGGTGTGTTCCCCAACTGCGACGTGGGTCTTAAGTTGCAGGGCTGGTCAACAGATGTCAATTTGGCCGCTCTGTGGAGTGAAGTAAGGCCAGGATTGAGAATCCAGGCCTTGTAAGCTATCGCGGGGGGAGTGGGGGGGAGTCCCTTGAATCCATCTCAGCGTAATCTTCCTCTTTCCGCTACGTCACTAGAATTGCCACCCGCCAATTTTCCTTTCCCGCTCATAAAAGGCGGAAAACATTGGCCACCCAGAGAATTGAGGTTTTTCTCGTTCTCCACCAAGTGTGTATGTCTAAAGGTCTTTCTCGACCTCAGGGCCACAGGAGGAAAAAACCTCCTGCCTGCCCCCCCCGCAAAAAATATCCCCTCCAAATTGATGTCCGGGACGGCCGATTCACCCTGAAAATTCACGCCGAGCACAAATCCCTTTAGCAGCCAGCCGAGCATCTGCTGACCTGTCCTATCGGCCCACCTAGGCCCAGGGGTCATCAAACATGGCCACTTTGAAGATGGGGTGGACTTTGACTCCCAGAATTCCTCAGCTGGGGGAATTCTGGGAGTTTGAAGTCCACCTGTCTTAAGAAGGGACCAACTTTGGAGACTTCTCTGACCTAGATTTAAAAAAAAAAAGAGGAAGGGGTGAATGGGAAGGGGTGATCCGTTTTTAAGTTTTTGGACACGTCGAGTTCCCGGGGTCCACTTTGTCCTCTCTGTTTTGTTGTAATTGTTTTCTCCTGCATCATTGTAGTCCATTTGAGGGGAGGCGGAGCCGACGATGGTCCCGGGGGAACCTAGACGGACGCGTTCCCCTCTTCCTTCCCCCCGCCTCATCCTCCACCTTCTCTTCCACAGAGATCCTCGGCTTCGCACTGATTTTCAATGATTGCATATGCAAAAATTAGCGTGGACTTTGTAAATAGGTAGATACATGAAATTCCTTATTGTAACCAAAAGTTGTGGTTTCTTCTCTCCCATGTTGTTTTTACACCCCTGTCTCCATGACTGTTTTCCCAAGTTGTGTGTCCTTCTTTCTCTCTCTCTTTCTCTCTTTCTCTCTCTCTCTCTCTCCCCTTCCAAAGCCCCCTCGCAATTGATGAATTCCCCCTCTCCCATTTTCCTTTTGCCTATTTGATGCCTTCTTCTCTTAAATCCAGCTTCTACTTTCAGCTAGACGCGAGGTCCTCTTTGGCTAAGAAACATCAGAAGACTGGCAGGATGTCACTTGGGTATGAGCACAATATAGCATTTTGTAGGTATATAAATATATTTTTTAAACTCTCGGTCGCTGTCGTTCAAGTGGGCGCTCTGTTTTCCCCTTGCCGAGGGACGCCCGCGGTCTCTTCCCAAATTCTCTGCAACATGGCAAACCAAAGTGTGATCTTTGGTACAGCTCGACCCCGTTACCCAACCCCAAACATGGCCGCTGCCCCCCACTTCCTTAGTGTGCCCCTCTTTTTCCGTTTCAATTCTCGGCAGGATTAGTTGGCCGACCAGGGGTGCTTAGAACTAGTTTTAATCTGGATTATCATCCCTGCTCCCTAGGGGCAGTCTGAGGAATTGTGTTTCATTTTATAAGGAGGAATTTGCCAAAAAAATAAAAATGCATACTGTCCCGTCCCACCCCACCCTGCCAGTCGTAACTCCAGCGCTGCTTGGGGGCGGTGGGGGGGAGATAACCCTGGTTTAAAACCAGTCCAGAGCACAGTTTTAGCTCTGTCCTTAGCGTCCCTTCGTGGTCGTACAGTTGTCACCAAAGATATTGTACCGACTTGGCATTTTTCCCCATCAAATGGCAGCGGGAGGGATGGGAACGGGATCCCAAAATCGGAGGACATGGAATCAGGACTGAGCTGTGCGTGAGCGACGGCAACACTTTAACACAAGCTTTGATGCGTTTGCACTAAAAAAAGACATTGCATTTCTGTCTCGCGTTCAGTCCTCCACTGGCCTCTCGCGTCCATTCTGCCTTAAAACTCTCATCTCAAATCCTCTTTGTACGAGCGATGATTTAAAAAAAAAAAAAAATACCGACTGCACGCAGGGTTTGCCTCTTTCAATCCCATACCGTATATACGGTGTGGGATTGGTTTATTTTTTTAAAAAAATATATAGTTTTTAAAGTTGTGGTAAAGTGTTGCCAAAGAAACTTGTGGGTTTGTTTTTTTTTAAAAAAAAAACACATTTCAGGAAGAAACTGTTCTCGCTTCGAAAGGGTGATCGGTAATAGAATGTGTTTTCCCAGGGTAGATTTATTTGTGAATTTCAACAAGGTGCTTGAACTGGTCCAAGCGTGTGAGTCTTTTCCATTGTTTGATTTTGTACATTTGGGGGGCGGGGGGGGGAGAGGAGCACTGTGGACTCAAAGGATTGATAGCCACTGATTGGTTTCCAAAAAATTAGGAATGATTTATTGGGAGGAGGGTATTGTGGTGCTTGAAATACATCTGGGACATTTCTGGGATTGATTCTGTTGACAAATAAGCAAGAATCTCTTCTCTTGACCCCCCCAAAAATGCTGTTGTGCTTAACATGGGTGTAAGATTGAAGGAACATGGCAACCGTAGGAGAGAACTCCAAAGTTTCTTTTCTTCTCCCCAACACACAAACACACTCTCTTCTTGACACCCTTAGCTGTTCTCAGGTCATGTTGTGTGTGAATGTAGCTTGGGAGAGATGATCACCCGAGCTGGAAGGTGACTTGCCAACACTGAGGAACATCCAAGAAGGTTGGCCCATCAAGATGACCAGATTCAAAATGGCAAATGGGGTGAACGTTTTGCTGGACATAATTGTCTCTTGTGGTGGGAAGGGAACTTATCTGTCAGGGGTTGAACCAGCATAATTTGTAGCATCCATGAATTTTTTGATGAGAAAACCCAACTCGTTCAACGTTCCACCACTTCCTACATCTTCTCCTCTTCTTCACCCAAAGTTGATTGGGTCGATGTCTCTTCCAAGACCCTTGATTTTATAGGCACCTTTGAAACATGATTTGTAAGCACCTTTGAAACATGACTTGTCTCCATTAAAGCCAGTTGTAGAACTCGTTCAATGTTCTACCACTTCTTACATCTCCTCCTCTTCACCCAACGTTGGTTGATTTCACATCTCTTCCAAGACCCTTGATTTTGTAGGCACCTTTGAAACGTGACTTGTCCCCATTAAAGCCAGTTGCAGCAAGAACCCCAACTTGTTCAACCATTTCGTCCATCTTCTCTTCTTCACCCAACATTGGTTGAGTTGACGTCTCTTCTAAGACTTGATTTTGTAGCGAGGACCCCAACTCGTTCAACCACTTTGTCCGTCTTCTCCTCTTCGCCCAACGTTGATCAAGTTTACGTCTCTTCCAAGATTCTTGATTTTGTAGGCACCTTTGAAACATGACTTGTCTCCATTAAAGCCAGTTGGAGAAGGATCTTTTGACACTGGCAAGATGGCAGCACAGGGACAACCCACCTTCCAATAGCCACACCAGTTGGCCAATTATTTTTCCTTAGTTCTTTCCCCCATCAGGTCTCGATGAGAGGAGGCTGTGTTGGTCCTCCTTCTCCTCCTTCTCTAGCTCAACCCAACTTCACCTACTCAAAGCCTTAAGCATGGTAGATAAGAATAAAAACAACACAGCCTCTTTACATTGTCAATGACTTTTTCTTCTTCTTTGCACTAATGTTGACCCATTGGATTCGATGGGCCGATTCTGTTGCACTTTTCGAACAAAATAAAATAAAATTACAAAAAATAAATAACACTTTTGAGGATGTGCTCAAG